CACAGCAGTGCTGGTGCTGTCCCCCCCGTGCCCGTCTTGTCCTCGAACCCCAGGTATAACTTCACAAACAGCCTTTGCTCTTCCCTGATGATGAGTTTCTTTCACTGATGATTTTGGGTCTTTGTCTCGTTTCACAACATCTAAAAAAAAACCCCAGCCAACAGCAATACAGTCAACAGCAGAACACAAGAGCCTTGATGCGTTTGAAGTGCTTAAAAGGCCTAATTTTGATAACTTCCCACAGCACAGGCACAAGCTGATGGAGATGGAAGTGTTTTAGCAGCGCAGGGAGGCAGGACGGAGGGTGCCAGCATCACTGGGGGGTGCGAGTCACTGAAGCAGGAGCACAGGGTGATGCTCAGCGCCCCTGTTTGCCACCACCCAGCTCTGTTTCGCTGTTCTTTGGGCTGTTCCTGTGCCACAGGCTGGCTGTGGCAAGCAGCCGGCAGCGAGAGTAGAGTAGAAAAAGACATTCACAACATTAATGAAAGCTTTGACAGAAAGGAAGCGAGGGGAACTATTGTCTCCCCAGCCTTATTCTCATAATGTCTGCGTGTAATAAGTCTTTTGGTTATGCTTGTGGCTTCTGTGACAAAGCAGTGATTTAAGGGGCTGTCTTTACAGAGGCAGAGCTGCTCACATGGGCCAAAGTGCTGGTGAGTAATATTTTACCACAAATTGTTGTAACTGGAGCTTGACAACTGCAGTAGGAAGGAGGGAGGGGGATTGTATTTGATTTATTACATGGCTTGCTGCAATTTGCTTTATGCTGGTGCAGCTGCAAATGTGCAAATCCTGTGAGTAAAAGTCCATGTGAGTGAAAACAGGGAGGGGAAAACACTGTGATTTGCTGCCAGGATTCCCAGAGGTCTCCTGGATCAGTGGGAAGCACACACGCATCGTGCCTGCAGGCCGGCTTCTTGGACTGACGGCATCTTGGGATGCCTACGAGGCTTTCCCAGGCGCTGCCAGTGCCGTATCCCATTGGGAACCAGCGGTCCTGTCTCTTAGTGTGGACATCAAGTATAACACCGTTCCTCTGGGCAGCAGTGCTTTCTCTCTCAGCCTTCAAACCAAGCCAGGAGTTAAAGGGATCTTTAACCCAACCTGTGAAGCATCTTTAAGTTGAGCTCCAAAGAGGGAGGAAGGAAGGAAGGCTGCAGCTTGGGCTTGCATCCCTGAGAATCCAGGTCATGTTTACTACGGGCAGCTGGAACATGATGATCTCAGATGCTAACAAGTAACATCTGAAGGGAAGCATTAAAACATCAGAGCTGTTTTGTAAGCACCTACTTCACTTCCATTCCGAAGCCAGTTTAGCTATTTTTAAAGGTTCCTTTGTCCCTTTAAGTACCTGGTGTCGGCTTATCTGAAGCAAGTGAAGAAGAACAAGAGGTTGCCCTTCCTTTGAATTTCAACTGGGAAAATGGCTTTGTAGCTTTTAAAAACCCCAAACCAACAAACAGCCCCACTGGACAGCTTCCTTTCTGCTCCACATACCTACAGTCCGAGGCTTTTTGTCCTCCTGCAGCTGACCTTGTGTAATTTCCTTTATTTACATTTGGCTGGCACTGGCCTCATTGACTACAAGGGTTTGTACAACCCCTGTTATCCTGACGCTTGCAGAAGCAAGTTCTGCCCGTGCTGTCCTCTTACTTACTGCTGCAAAGTACATATGCAATGCTACTGACTAAAAGTGAGTCTTGTGCTATGTTATTCTGCCCTTAATGCCTTGGTACCAGGACAAGAGGAGGACATGGGCAATTAACTTAAACCAGGTGAGAAAAGTGACTCCAATCTGTGCAAGGAGACGTCTGATAGTGCTATGGTTTGATGTGCTTTTATTTAAGTGAATTGTGTGCAGCCTTTGTAATGCCTCTCTTTTGAGGGGGTTGTTTTTGAGGAAGCTGTTGCAAACAGTGTTTGTTCACTGCTGCAATCAAGCCAGAGTAAAACATGGGGACAGATTAGCGTCCCAGGACTTTGGTATTTGCGTTAGGCCTGCTCTGCTCGCATGTGCGATCACCTCTGCTCTAGGACTTTTGCAACCAGAGTGAAAACAAATCGCACTTAATGTCTATCAGTGGCATGATGGTTTCTTCAGCAGGTAGTTCATTTGCAAAGGGATGTATTGATAGTTGGAATTAAGTGTGGCAGCGTTACTCCTGGTAGGGTTTGGTGATGGTAGGAGTTAGGGGCTGAGCGGGGAAGGGCGTATTTCAGCTGGCTTAAAAAGAAATAAGGCTTGAGGGAGAGAAAATTGCCTTTTAGTGCGACTATCCTGGTATTTAGTGGCTTGATTTGTGCTACATGAGCCGCCCAGCCTGGCATGGAGAAAGTATGCTGCAATTGAGAGATGACAAAATAATGACATGATTGCGAGCTTCATGCACGAGGGTAACGCTCCCCAGTGCCCCCAATCCAGGAGGAGAAAAGGCACCTTCTAATCAGGCCTCTCCTGGTAAGGTCTTTACAAGAGCCTCGAGGTCAGCACTGATCTTCTTTAGAAGAACATAGGATTGCCCAATTCACAGGGTAAACACGCTGCTGCAGGCTGAGGAAGTGGCATGTGATGGCCACGCTGCCGAGCCTCGTGCTAGGGATGGAGAGGAGGAAAGCAGGGAAGTTTCTTCATTTTCTTTATTAAAAAAAAAAAAGGAAAAAAAAGAAAAGTTTATTGCAAAACTCAGTGTTTTAGAATAGTTCCAGAGTCCACTAGGTTACAAACACATCAGTAAGTCCTGCTTTGAACGCATTAAAGCCTGCTTCTGGGTCTTCTGTGCCCGCACACACACATACTCACACGCTCCCCTGCTCGTGCCGCTACACAGACAGGAACAGAAACGTACTGTGAGGTCAGTGACAGACATATTATTTGATCTGTATTGGAAACTGTTGTAGAAAACAAAGAGAACATTACAGTAGAACCTCGCAAATCTGCCGAACAGGGAGCGTCCACACACACACAAAACCTGGAGGCCTTGTTCCACTTCCAAGCAGAGTTGTAATAGCAAAGTGCTGTAGTGAGGTCTCGTATCACAAAGACTTCCATAATCTCACAATTAAGAGTCTACAGAACATTTACCAAGATGCTTGAAGTTATCATAAATTAACAATAAATAAAAAGTACATCTTAATGCGACGATTGTGACTTGGTCATTTACTCACTGATTCACAAAACTCTCAGTTCTCTGTAAGGGGTCTTCCAGTCCTGGGTGCATCGCAGCGAGGTTCTGCTGGCCGTGATAAAGTGCTGAGGCAGAGGAAGGACGCGAGACCGCGGGTCTCGGGCAGTGAGGATGGATTGCTCTAGCCACTTGGTTGCAAGAGTGCCTGTTTCTTGGGTTTTAGGACATCTAAGACAGAAAAAACACATCAAGCACCTTCCCAAAAAGAGGGGGTGAGTTTCCTTTTTTTTATCCTTTTTTTTTATCCTTTTTTTTTTAAACAGATTGTCCCCCATTTCTATGGCTGGTAAAACACAGACAGGTCAGCGTAGCAGTTAATGCATGATGCCACTTCCACTGAAATACACAGAGATGGTGGTTTGGTTTTCATTCCAAACCAAACCAGACTTGTTTTATTTGTCCCCCTGAGTTGCTTAAGAGGCGTTAAGATGCATATAGGTGGGGTAAGCAAGCTTGTGTCACCATGAGTAGGAATCTCTCCTGGTTAAGACTAAATGAACAGCTAATATGTTGTCTTTTACTATTCCCCTCATGCCTTCAGTGTGTACAGACCCTGGTTCATTTATCTGGAGAAAAAAAAAAGGGTTCCTGCTGCCTTTGGGGAGCAGGAAGAGCCAGGGAAGGGGGTACCCCCATGGCTGGCAGATGTGGGGAGCAGACTGCAAGGGGCTGGGTATCAAGGAGCTGTTCCACATTCACTTGTGATGTGGCAGAGATTTCCTTGTGCACGTGTAAGCGAAGGTTTTGGGTACATTAAGACATACTGAGCCCAACCCTCCCTGCAGGGTGGGCTGGTGACAGCAGCAGAGCTAGGTCCAGTGACACCAGCCGAGGCCTGATGAGAAGAGATGCTGGATCTGTGGTTTATTACTGGGTTTTTTCCTTTTTAAATAACAACTGGGTTACCTAAGACCTACCTATTAAAAACAGCTACACTCTATGCTGTAAGGTTCCCAACAATTTCACAAGCTAGCAATACAAGATAGGTGTTGAAGAGGGTGATGTAAAGACAGCTTTCCGTTACGCAGAAGATGATTTTTCCTCTCCAGTTATTTAAGCTAACCTCCTTTAACAATCTTAGAATAAATTAATAAATACTAATTAAATTAGAAACAGTACATCAGAGCTGACTATCAACAGAAAAAACAGTTCTAAGGATACCAATCAGGAGAAGAAAAATCATCTTGTGATTAAGATGTGCAGTAATAACTGGCCATAAAGACATATGGAGCCTCTGATTTCCCAGCATTTGTGTCGTTCAAGTTAAGAACATTAACAATGGTTTCTATTAAGTCAGCTATCTAGCCTAGCCTCCTCCAACCTAAAACATGAGTCCTTATTCTTCTAGGAGAAGATTCGCTTGGCTACTGGTGGTGTATGAAATGAGTGTCTCCAGTTCATGTTATCGATGTCTTATTTGCTTGGAATTTGTGGTAGGGGATGGTTGAGGACAGTCAGAGGCTGAGCTGCTTCTGCTGTTGCTGTTCTCAGTTTCTCTGGGGTCAGTTGAACCTTTACCTATGTTGTTATCAGGAAAGCAGGAGTGTGCATCACATCTTCATGCTAGACACAAGTTATCCTTATGTGGCTATCCGTATTTTCTATGGAGCTTTCCATTGTTGGTTAAAAAAGTTCTTCCTAATAATTAAAAAAAAAAAAAAACCAAAACCAAAAGAAGTTGTTGGTAGCAACTGTTCACATTTAAAATTTCACATTCCCTTTAGAATGGAGCTTTAAAACGTGGAGCAGAGCTGACATCTTGCCCAGTCTCGCGATGAGGAGAGTTAGATGGAGAAGGGACGTGGAGGGGGGTTACACCACGTTGTCAGAGCCTTTTCCCGAATTTTCGCCTTTTCCCAAATTTTCACCCTTTCCCGAATTTTCTCCTTTTCCCGAATTTTCTCCTTTTCCAATATCCATGTCTATAAAGTCCTCAGGTAAATCTGAAGCAGCTCCCGCCGCGCTCTCCTCTGCGCCCCGCTGCGGGCGGTGGCACAGCCCAACCTTGCATGGTCTCACCAGGGACAGGAACACGGCGCCCAGGACCATGCCAGCAGCACAGGAGTAAAAGGCTGAGCTGTAGTTCTGTGTCGTATCCACTATGACACCTACAGAGACACATTGACAGCAGTTAGCCACAAGTGACACCCCTCTCCCATGCCCATCCATCCCTGCTGTAGGGTTTTGAATCCAGGTACCACTTTAATCTGGGTACCACTGCATCATTTTGTCTGCAGTCAGAAGCTACTCTATGACAAACAGATGCTACTTTAAATAAAAGTAGAACACGTTGTGTTTAGGGGTGCACAGTGTCATCTTCAGGCGAGTAAGATGCCTCTGGGCACGAAATGCATCTATTTATGATGCCAGAGACTTCACCTTTCTGTAGTCTATGGCAGAAATACATGCACAGTGGAAGCGATTCGTTTCTGCCGCTCGCTAGAGCCTGAAGTGATGCCAGTTTTAGGTTTCTAGCAGGATCAGGGGAGCACTGCAGTATTTTCCTTCACTCCAAGGTTCCTCAGCAGAGACCGCCTCATCTGTGGGACTCTGCAGAGCTGCATTGCAGCAGTCTTCTGGCTCTGAGAGTCTTCTAATACTAGTTGCAGGGCTTTTAGGCTAGTACTATGATTAGCGCTGCCAGAACACTTTCTAGACAGATCAGCACCAACAACATGCCAAAAAAACAACCCCAAACCCAAAGTTAAAATGAGTTTCAGACCTACCTGCAAGGGGTGGTCCAGCCAACCCAGCTAAGCTTTGAATGAAGACGTAGACACCAGCCGCAGAAGACATCTTCTCGATGCCAACCACGTCGTCTTCTGCCAGGAGGGGAATATGCGTGCCCGCTACCGTTCCGAGCATGAACCCGAAGAATATGCTACATGTCATCAAGCCCCAGAACTCGGAGGCAAAAGGGAAGGCAAACAACGCTACAGACAGCAGGACAACGCAGATGAGTTCGATGTAGATCTTGCGGATGGGCTTCTTGTTGAGGACCCAGCCAGCTGAGATTCTTCCAAAGACCTCTGCAATCGCCATGGCTGACAGTATGTATGCAGAGTGGTCTTTGCCGATGCCAAGGCTGAGACTCAAGGGAATGATGTAGAGGGAAGGAGCGAAGAAGCCCAGGGTAGCAAACAGGCCAAACAATGCATAACAGATAAAGCTATAGTCTCTCATCACAGAAAAGTCCAGTAGTTTGGTTTTTGGTTCTGGAGGGGTGCTGTTATTTTCAGCAAGTATCTGTACGTGTTCCTTTGGTTCTTCACTTTTCGGCTCTGCTTTGGTTTTTCCAGGCACATTGCTGGGTGAGGTAGTTATTTCTACTCCTGAGTCTATGGACTCTATTGAGGTGCGTGTTTGCTCATTTTCAAGCATGTACTTGGTCTCCGCGGGCTCTTCTGGAGGCTGCGCTTTCACTTCTTCTTGCTCTTTGATGATGATGGGTCGCAGCAGCGATCCGCAGACGACGATGCTCAGCTGCAGCACCCCAACAGAAAGGAGGCTGTATCTCCAGCCTATCTGCTCCTTCAGAGCAGTAATTGCTGAGGGAAGAGGGCAGAAGAAGAAAGTGTGAGTAGGAGAGCCTGGAGTTACACCAAGGAGTTATTTGAACTAGAGCTTCACCACCAGAGAGTCCCCAGCACCTCAGCTCTCATGGAGGCTGAGCAGGGTCCCTCCTGGTCCATCCTGCCCAGGGCCACCCAGGGGTCTGGCACCCACGTTCTAACTCTTTCTACTGCAGCTGATGGGAGGAAGCCACCTTTAACATCTGGCTAGCAGAAGCCATCCTCTAGGTAACCGCTTGTGAGGTCCCAGCGAGTCTGGGATGCGCGAGGATGAAGGTGGTGTTATTTTTAGTGAATGAGAGCAAACTCAGCATTCAAGTTTCCTCTCGGCTGCCCCCACCCTGAAACCAGCTACTAGAGGAAGTCTCTTCGCTCTACTCAAAGGTGCATGTTACCAGTCAATTACAAGCCTTCATCTGCAATCAGAGCAGCTCTGCAATGGGTATTAGCTGACAGGAAGTGTGTGCAATAGAAGACCACCTGAACTGCAGAGACAGGGACATGCTGCCTGGGGACAGGTCCCCAAAAGGCTGGAGCAGCTCATGCTAAGCACAGGCTCACTAACCTTTAGGAACAGTTATGTGTACTGTGTATGTTTTAAATAGCTGAAGTTTCTCGGTCTTATTTTTAGCCTGCTAGATCTATATAGGGAACCGGGCAGGCTGTGTATCAGCAAGGCACGTCCTGCTCTGGCACACGTCATGCTGGGGGGGCTTGGGCACGGTGAGACCAGCCTCTAGGATTACTTGTAACCCTGTTTGCAGAGCACGAGCCCCCCGGGCATGTGAGCAACCACCTGTGGGGCTTTAGCAGCTCATGAGCACCAAGTTGGTATCGACTGGCTTCTATTTGCTTGGGAAAAGGACTGGAGCAGCATCAGGCTTTAGGCACGCGCGTACGGACACGCAGCATTTGGGCTCTGTACCTGGTGCGAAGGAGAAGACAGCGAAACATTCCCCTGTAGATGCCACCGCTGTGACCAGCGAACGCCTTTTGTCAAAATACTGTGATAAAATGGTGACAGTCGGGAGGAAAGAGAGGCAGTATCCGAGGCCTGTGAATAAATGCCAAAAATTGCCATAACAACAAGTAAGGGAGGGGGGAAACACCGATGCGAGAACACGTTAAGTCAGCTTTCCCAGTGGCGAGATTACAGTATCATTTCGGCCAACTCAGCAAGTCACCCTGGAAGAAAATCATTGGGGAAACCACAATGTTATTTTCTTTTAAACTGGATAGGGGGGAAAGAAAAAATAAAAAGAAAGAAAGAAAAACCAAAACAAGAGACCCAACCTCCCAGCTCATGCCTTCTGCTCCCAAACAGCCAGCGGGGTCCATTGGAGGACCTCATCTGCCTAAAGAGTTTGAGCCTGTAGCAACTGATCCCCTAAGCGAGGCAAGCTCCTGGCCATGGATGTGAGCAGGACATCCCAGAACAGACTGGAGAAGGGGAAAAGTATCAGGGAAAACACAAAATCAAGGGAGAGGTTGGAGGATCTGGCTCCATGAGCAGCTTTCATCTCCCCACTCAAGCAGGAGCAATCGGTACAGCTGCAGGACCAAGGCCCAAGGTGATCCCCAGGGTGAGACCAAGGGCACAAGACCGAGCCTTGAGCCCAGGTCATCGCCTTGGCCGGAAGGGTAGAACCAGCTGAGAAGGGTCAGCAGCATTTCTTAAGCACTCCCCACGTCATAGTGAGTAAAACCCCTCCATGGCCAGAGCCACGCTTGTGGGAAGATGCAGGAGAGCAAAGGGTTTGGAGCTACAAGAAAGGGACAACTCACCAGAGATGACGCCGATGGTGATGTACATGTCCACAACAGAGCGGGCGAAGGAGGCGATGACCATGCCGGTGCTGATGAGCACCCCCCCGGCCATCACCACCAAGCGGTGACCGAAGCGATTGCTGAGGACTGTTGACAGAGGAGCTGGATGGACAGGACAGGAAGAGAGATGTGGTCAACACTCATCAGCAACCTCAGCTACCACGTGCTCCAGAGGCTCTTCTGATACGCCTGCCCACATCCCCGGAACACGCCACCTCCCCTGCCAGCTAGCCCCACAGAGCAGAGCATCACCCCGGAGCCATCCCTGAACACTGCACAGCGCTTCGGATGTGCTGATAAATGATCAGAAAAGACTAGGATGGGTGCAAGGGACAAGCCTACAGCAACATCCACAGACACCAGTGGATTTCAGCGAGGCTCAAGTTATTTGTAGCCCTTTTCACTACGGAGCTGGGTCTCAGAACTCTTGGTTTCACCCTCTGCTGAACAGCCACGCCAGGCTCAGCAACGTGCACCACGTCCTTGTGCCACGCAGAAGGACACGAGTTGGGGCTCGAAGGTATGGCTGGGCTGAGACAGACATTTCTTGTTATTCCAGGAGCACAAAGCTCTGCACTTTATGGCTGTTATTTATAACAGAGCCATTAGAGACACCAAAGTCACCGGTACCAGGTCCTTGTCTGATGAGTCAGCACTACGGCTGCCCCTTGCACCCACGCTGGATGCCTGCCATTCTTACCTGTGAAGGTCTGCACAAACACACATATGGATATTATCCAGGATATCCTGCTGTTGGTTTCATCAAAGCTTTCCATCAGGTCATTAAAGAAGACACCAAATGATTTTATAATGCCGTAGGTGAGTGCTTCCACAAAGAAGAAAGCAAAAGCAACTGTCCAACCCCATCCTCCATCAGGCACTTTAGAATAGACATTTGGGGCCATGCACCCCATTTTTACAGCTTTGACAGTCATTTTTGATCTGGAAAAGAGGGGAGAAAGAGCCAGGCATCAGTTTTGAGATGGATTTTGCTGGAAGACGCATGGCCTAGCAGCTGTGACATCCCTCAGGCTGGTCCCTGTGCTGCTGAGGGATTAAATGCAGGAGTTGGGGTGAAGTTTCAGCCTTTGTCACCCCACAGGGCTCATTTTTGCTGGTGCCTTTCGAGCCCCGGACCAGAAACTCTCTGCTCAGCGCCCTGGTGAGCTGTTCCCATCAGCAAATCCCAGCGCCCGGGAGCTGTCGTCTGTATTTCAGTGCATGGGGGTGGATGGATGCAGTTCGTGAAAGATCTACCACGGGACCCAGCGTGGGCTGGTGGAGCTGCAGGAGCTCCCCGGGAGCATCCATCCTCCCCACTGCACCCTGTGCCTGACCCAGGGTGGACGGTGACACCCCAATACCAGCTGTTTGCAGTGGGGTTGG